CGATTGGATTTCCTCAGAAAATATTATAGTTGTCTTTTCCCCTCAGAGATCTCTATTAGTGCCCTTCAAAACCAGCCTCAAGTGACCTGCTTGCCTCTCTACAATTCTTGGCCTATACATGAAGGTCCTGTGCCAACGTTGCTGTAGGAATGATTCTTGTCTGTTCCTGCTGCTCCCCACACTCAATGTCTACTCTGGGAGTGATTTTATTTCCTTCTTCAAACTCATTAAACATTTGCAGCACCCTTTATTGTGTCCTTTCCTGCTTCTGTGGAAGAAGGGTGGCTTCTACTAAATCCAAGAGCAGTGGCAAAAGGTAACTGGACATAGCAGTGGTTGTACCTGGGTAAGAGAAACAAGAAGATGTAATGTATGCAAAGAAACAGTTGAATCTGGCAACTGCCAAAGCATTTGGTCTAGGCATGTTTTTGAGGGATAAGTTTTCAAAGCATGGCAAGTGTGTGTTTCTCCCTGTGGGGAGATGTAAACTGATACTGAAATGCCCCTGCATTCCCCAGGCTTTGTGCACCTGCAGTCAGATCTCCTGCACTTCAGCCAAGCCTCAACAGTGCAGAAGGGCTGCTGCTGGGAGGTGTCAGGTGAGGATGCAATTGGGGAATGATGGCAGGGCTGGATTTGAATGCTGTTGCTGGTAGGAATGTCCCAACCATAGCATTCTTCAGCACAATGTCTTGCTTGGCCCAGTTGTTCCCAGGATGAAAGAATCCACAAGTTCCTTGGATTTCCTGCTGTTTTCCACCCAGAAATCTGCAGTCACACCTTCAGCCAGGCCACTCCTGCGTCCTTTTTTGTTAAAATAAATGGTGTGTCCACAGATCATCTCATTGTCTGTGAAATGCATGGAATTGGGGAACCACAGCATAGCCTGAGGTAGAACAGACAAACAGACAGAAGTCTGTGCCTCCATCACCTTTCTCCACACAAGCTTAAAAGAATTCTTAACCACAGTTGTCTATTCTTTTATTCTTAACCACAGTCTCAATTCCAACACACTGTTATTTCAAGAAATCTCCTAAAAAACATGGGCTATGATGTGATGAAAGCACAAGTGGAGAATGCTTTCTGGTGAGTGAAAGTAGAGGGGGCAGGGAGAACTCTGAAGATGATGCCAATGTTAGAAGCTATAATGAAAAACAGAGCATTTTGGAAAATGAGGATCAGCGCAATCGAGTTCCTGTCCCAACGCCCAGGCTCTGAACAGACCCAGCAGCACAGGAGAAATGGACAACGATATTCCTAGCATTATGCAATATACTGTATACATAAATTGAAGAGCAAAACTGAGAAGACCAGACATTCAGAGATTCACAGATGACTGGGTGGCCAGCAGGGAAAAGGAGGTGATAGGTGATCGTCCCCCTCTACTCATCTCTTGTGAGGCCTCACCTGCAGTTCTGTGTCCAGGCCTCGAGGCTCCAGGAAGGACGTGGAGCTCCTAGAGTGGGTCCAGAGGAGGGTCACTAAGATGACCAGGGGGCTGGAGCACCTCTGCTATGAGGAAAGCTTGAGGGAATAGGGCTTGTTTAGCTTGGAGAAGAGAAGGCTCCAGGGAGACCTCATTATGGCCTTCCAGTACTTGTAGGGAGCATATAAACAGGAGGGGGATGCTTGTTTATGAGAGAGGTAGGACAAAGGGGAGAGAGGGGAGCTTTAGGTTAGATACTAGGAGGAAGTTTTTCACACAGAGGGTGATGATGCACTGGAACAGGTTGCCAAGGAGGCTGTGGATGCTCCATCCCTGCAGGCATTCAAGGCCAGGCTGGATGTGGCTCTGGGCAGCCTGGGCTGCTGGTTGGCGACCTGCACACAGCAGGGGGGTTGAACTTTGATGATTATTGTGGTCCTTTTCAACCCAGGTCATTCTATGATTCTATGAATCTATGATTCTACGACACTGTCTTTCACCTAGAAACAGTAATACTTCTCCTCATGACACAGCAATTCTCCAGTTTGCAGAACAGTGATATACCAGATCTCCAAGAAGATGAACTTACTAAGGAAGATATAGAATGTTATACTCAGGTGCCTTTCAATTCATACACTGACAAAGGAGAGGCCATTCCCGTCAAGATTACGAGAGGCATGGGAAAGGTAATGACAAACAGGACCACATGCCACCTGGGATGGTCAATGTAAGCTCAGAAGAATCATTTTCATCACTGACTCTGCCATGCCTCTACATTTTCTGGGTCATTGCAGTTTTGTCAAAGCCATTGCCTCAGACGCAGTGTCATCACATCCCTCCCACTGGTCTCACTATGTATCTATTTTAACCATTCTCTCCCTGTTGCTGCATTTTCTGACAAACAGCCCACAGAAAATAAATAATACAGCAATGCACTCACAAAAGCAGAGCCTCGCATGGAAACACAACTCACACATCTCACACACACAGTATCTCACACGCAACTCGGGTACATGTGTGCACTCGTCGCCCGTGCTCATGCACAGCTGGAGAGGCAGGAGCAGAGGCCATATGGAGCTGACTGAGGAGACACTGGGGACCTTTCTGGAAGGGCAAGGCTGCAGTGCTCCGAGCAGGACAAGGCTCCAGATGAGCTGACATCACAGTTTGCAGATGTTCAGGGATGGCCCAGTGAGAGGAGCCCAAGGAGGTCATGCAATTTCACCACAGTACAGTGGGATGAGGAAGAGAATTGAAACCAGACATCCAGGCCACCTCCTTGGAATATGAACACATGAGACCACTGGAATGGGTTGGGATGGAGAAAAAGAGGAAGACATGGCAGACCTGCATGCAGGGAAGCCTCAGGCCAGCATCACTTGCCTGAGAAGGATCCATCTCAGCACTTGAGCTGAGTCCTCTGCCATCACTGACTCATTCCTGGCCCAGAAGTCCTGGGGCCTCTCAATGCCAGCACTCAGAAGAAGCCTGCATGACGGAATGGTTGTGGCATAAGCCAGGGAATGAACAAGCAGCATGAAGGGAAGCAGCCACACAGCTCATGTCAGTGACTGTTTTCCATTCATCAGTAATTCCACAGAAAATTGCCACTTCCATGAAGGCTATGCTTGCACCTGGGGCAGGGCAGGGTCTCCATTAAAGGCAGCTCGATTCCTTCACCCTCTAATCAACATCTCTCACCTCTTTCTTCCTGGTATCCACGTGAGTCTGAAGCCCTTCTCCCACGTCCTTTGCTGATCATGCCTGAGTGGGGCTTGGCTGAGATGGATTTTCCACTGGGAGAGACAGCAGCCTTGTTGCATCTGGCCAGGCTTTTCACATCACTCCTGGATAAAATGAAGGCAATTTTTTACCTCTGTCTTCATTTTTATAGGTCCATAAGCATCTTTCTTCAGATGAATTTCTGGGAGTCCAGGGATTGTTTAGCGTGCAAAAGTCGAAGAGGGGACCATATCAGTGCTTATAAATACCAAAAGGGAGGGTGTCAAAAGGATGGAACCAAGATCTTTTCAGTGGTGCCCAGTGTGGGAAAAGGCACCAACTCGTACACAGGAATCTCCATCTGAACATGGAAAAGACCTTCTTTACTTTGAGCGTGAAAAAGCAGAGCACTGGAACCAGGTGCCCAGAGAGATTTTGGAAACTCCTTCTCAGCAGATAATGAGAGCCCAACTGGTTGCTTTCCTGCTCAGCCTGATCTAGGGAACGTGCTTTAGCATGGCAGTTGGACTGGATGATGTCCAGGTGTCCATTCCAACCCCTACAATCCAGTGATTCTGTGACTCTACCAGCCAGCTAAAATGGCTCCTTGGTGTGCCCCTGGGAGTTTCATGGACTGCTCCTCCTATGTCCCTGTGCTCTGCTTTCTCCTCAGTCTCTCCCACGTACAACTTCAGCACTGACCCACGTCCTGCTGTAGCCACTGCCTGCCATGCCCAGTCCCAGCCATTCCTGCCTTCTGGCCTGACCCCCTTGGTCAAAAGCTGCAGTGACACAGTGCTACAACTCCACTGTCATACCTGTACCCCCACCTGTGATAGTGGTCCTCTCTGCCCCCTTCCACAGCTCCTTCCTGCAGAGCACTGCTGTGAGATCCTCCACCTCTGCTGCCTTTGGCAGTATCCTCAGCAGTGATGGAGACAGTCACTGGGTACAGTGAACTCTCCTGCATTGCCAGATGCTCCATGGATGGCTGTGCTAAAGCCACTGACGAGGGACCAGGCCACGTCCCCTCTGAACCCCGAAGGTGTGCTGAATGGAGGACTGAGATCCTGGCCATGGATGTCAGAAAGGCTGAGTGTCCAGTCTCCTTCTAAAAACAGAGCATCTAGGGCTCACTGGAAACATCAATAAAGCCTAATTTTCCTGTCTTCTACACTCTCTTCCCTTTCTTCTACGGTTGTAAACCTGAAGACCCCAAAAGCCTTCTTGGGATTCTGCTGGCTGCTCTCCCTCTGTGAGGCAGTCAGGTAGCTTCTCGGTGGAATTTCTGCAACAGATGATGGGCACAAGATTCTGTCAGCTCCTGGTAACTGTCTGCACTGATAAGATAATCTCAAAGTGAGATCATTGGTCTCTTCAAAGTCGTTATGGTTGTCTTCATCCCAACCTTTGCCTGCATATGATACTTTTTTTGTGGTAGTCTCATTTAGCCAAGGAAGAAAGGCAATCTTTGTTGTCAGGGGATAAGGTGAGGACGTGAAGGGGCACTTTCAGTTTCTGGAGAAATGGAGAGATGTGGATTTGATAGATGTTGAACTCAGTGGAAAAGGAATGGCTCGGATGGTTGCAGTTGAGAGGAAGTGTCTGCCCTGGCTTCTCTAGCAATGTCAGAGTCCAGTGGACACTGGAAAGTCCAGTGTCTACCATTACTCTCTTCTACTGACTTTTAACATCAGTTCTGTTAATAATCCATTTTCCTCAAAGATTTCTTTTAGTTAGACCTACAAAGAATCTAGTCTGACCTACTTTTGATTTTTTGCACCCCTCTTTGATGCAGCAACAAAGAAATGGTCCTGTGATACCCAGGTGGATTTATCTTCTGATGAGAAAAATGGAAATGGAACAGTCAAGTCTTCTGGGAGCCATATTTTATTTTTCTCTTCTGAGACAGGTAATGGAACCATCAACAATTCATGATGCTCCAGAATTAACTCTTTAACTCCCAGTGCACAACACGATGATATGATACGGAACACCGAAAGCAGAAATCATAAAACCATGACTGCCCCTCTGCACTGAACCAGGCTGACTTCACTTGCCTCCTCTAGACTTGATCACCACTGCAGCTGAGTCACCAGCCTTACCACTGCAATTCTGCCCTATGAATCTTTGAGCCTTTAATCACAGCACTTCAAGGAATCCTTCTCATCCTAATGAGAAGGGTTAGCTTGCATTGAAGGATAGCTAGTCAGAAAATTATGGCCAGTATCAACTGTGCCTGTGGACCTGCAGCGATGAAGAACCAGTATAAAAGGCAGCCCAGTTCCCAACTCTGAGATCCATTTCTCTTGCCTTCTCCTTGTTGGGAACCAGGTAAGTGTGAAGCCCTCTCTCCTCCTCTTGCCTCAAGAGAAATGTTGTCAGATAGTGGAGCTCCATGCTATGGGAGATGATGGATGAGATAATGTCAGCTCAGAGAGTGCTTGGAACAGCTCTCAGGGCTTTAGATTTATACAGTCTGTGAGTGTCTCCCTGGGTCTCACTGCTCTTTATTCAGCCCCGGCTTAATCAAGGAGTGAGACCCGCTGTCCCAAGGTGCTTCTCCATCCTTAGCAGTTCCCTTGGCTCCTTTGTGAGAGGCTGTCCAGGCTGTCCCTCACATCTTCTCGTTTCCTTCTACATTCTATCCCTCTCTCCCAGGTGCACCTCCAGTCCCAAGTCATGTCCTGCTACACCCAGTGTGTGCCATGCCGGCCCTGCGGCCCCACTCCTCTGGCCAGCAGCTGCAATGAGCCCTGTGTCAGGCAGTGCCAGAACTCCACCATCGTCATTGAGCCCTCTCCCGTGGTGGTGACCCTGCCCGGACCCATCCTCAGCTCCTTCCCGCAGAACACCGTTGTGGGCTCCTCCACCTCCGCTGCTGTTGGCCGCATCCTCAGCTCGGAGGGCGTGCCCATCACCTCGGGGGGCTTTGACTTGTCCGGCTTGGGCAGCCGCTCCTGTGGCAGAAGGTGCCCGCCCTGCTGAAGCCACTGGCCGTGGACCTGGAAAAATTCTTCCATGAGCCACAAACACGTTGCTGGATCACCTGACCAAGCTCAGCTCCTCAAGCAAATGCTGACAGCTGGAGGCAATCCTGGGTTTTCCGAAAACAGCTCATGTCTCTTTTTCATTTCCTCTATTTCCATTTTCTTCCCTTCCCTCCCCTCCCTTCCACCTTCTTTTTTTTTTTTTTTTCTTTTTTTTTTTTTTTTCTCCCCCTTCTCCTGCTATGGGCAATGAGGCTTTTGAGAACCAACACAATCCCTGCTACAAGGAAGACACTGGCCCTGCATACACTCCAACAAGGGACTGGATGAATCCTGTAGTCTGGAGCCTCTGCTCAGTGTGACGTCATTTTCCTCTGTAAACATTCATTAAAGATTTCTGCATCTCATTTCAGCTTTTGATTTTTCTTTCTATCGTGTATAGTCTCCAGAGCAGCCAAGGGAGAATGCTTCTGCTCTTGGTTGGTATAAGATGGGTGTTTAAGGAGACCATTCTCCATTCCCAGAAGAATGGGAGGCTGTGACACACTGCAGAGGCTACTCTCTTGGACGCTGCCCCTTGCAGCTGAACAAGATATCCCTGGCGATGGCAGACCTGTGCCTGAACGCGGTTGTATTTACATCTTCACACTCACAAAGGCACATGCAAACAATGCACGCACAGAAGTAGAAGCTCATGTACTCTTCAGGTACATGTGAGCACCTGTCATCCACACTCACATCAAGCACAGACACGGCCGAAGAGGCGGGCGCTGAGGTCATGGGGAGCTGACTGAGGAGACTTTTGTGGCAGGGCAAGGCTGCAGTGCTGTGAGCAGATAAAGGCTCCTGATGAGCTGCCAGCACACTTTGCAGATGTGCAGGGCAACCCAGTGAGAGGAGTCCTAGGAGGTCAAGCAATTCCTCCATAGGGCAGCAGGATGAGGAACAGAAATGAAACCCAGTAGTCCAGCCCACCTCACTGTTGTTCTTGCTTTATGGTTTTTGTTCTTGGCATTCCACATCGTGACTTCATGCAGAGCACTGGGACTCAAAGAGTTACTGCTGCCGTCCTGTGGATTGCTGACAGTGCCTCAATACCTGAGTACCTGAGATGAGAAGAACTACAGCTCCCAGAACACTTCACCATTGTGTTTCTGTTTTCCATTCAGAAGGACAGATAAAACTGCTTGGGAGTGCTGGGATGTCTTTCCGATCATCTCCGTGGTGTGTGCACCCTAGCCATCTCCCCTTCAGCATTAGAGCAAGATCTTTGGTTTTTGTACACTGTCCTTTTTTCATTTATTTGATTCATTCACTTCCATTCCAATGATAATGTACCACATTGTGTTACCTTGCATTCCACTAGGATATTTCCTCAATTTGTTTCCTCACTAGACACATTGCAGAAGTTCTGCTTTCAGGCCCCTCTCCTTCCTGGTTCTCATATGTGGTGTGTTGGGGAAGGAGGAGAAGATAGAAGATGGGACAGAATTGTGAGAATGTCCGTCTGGTGTCAAACAGCCCATGCTGTCAGTCCTGCTGTTCCCCACAAATATATGGCGTGCAGCCCTGCCACAGACCCAGCTGAGTTTGATTCGACTGGGGATCAATGAATCACGGCTGCTATGGGTGCAGCGCTCGTTTCTGTGGAGACCTCAGGGCGGCGCACCCCGGTCAGGATGGAGTTTGGCGGCCATGCAGGCAGCGCCCCCTGCGGGCCCGGACGGCACTGTGCCCCCGCCCCGCCCCAAGCGGTTCGTGCCCGGCCGCAGCCCCGGCTTCGCTTCCCGTGCGCCCACGGCGCAGTAATACAGCGCCGCGTCCCCGAGCCGGGGCCGGGCGAGACGCAGAACGCTGGAGCGGCGGTCTGCCGACACCCACAGCTGCCCCTCCGGGTCCGGCACCTCCTTCGAGCCTTTAAAAGCGCTGACGAGGAATGCGGGTCCTCGGCCCGGGAGCTGACGGTACCAGTAGATGTAATCTCCGGTCTGTATGTTGGGGTGTGAGCAGGTGATGTTGACTGCTGCCCCCTCTCTGGTCTGTGTCGCTGGCTCCTGCTGCACCTGGGCTCTGCTCACAGCCACTGCCGAGAAAGAAAGAAGCAGCAAACTCAGAAAATACATTCTCTCCCAGAAATTTCATGCAGGAGGAGAGAGGTGCACGAGCTGGGAAAGAAGGCGCACGGACAGACATGAGCCCGGCCCCTTCCCCCCGCAGCCCCGCAGTCCGGCCCCGCCGGCGGCAGCCCCGCGCACCCAGGAGCACCGCGGCCAGCCCCGCCAGCCCCGCGGCCCGGCACTGCCGCATGCCGCCGCTCCGCCGCCCGCGCCGCGCTGCCCCCGCCAGCCCCGGCTCTGCTCCGCCCGCGCCGCCTCCTCCCCGCCGCCGCCGCCAGCTCCGCCCCGGGCTGCTCCAAACCACCTCGCTGTAGTTCAGGCGCCTCTTGATGGCATCTAAAGAAATTTGCTCCAAAATACATCGTTGTGGAAGGTGTTATTGGAGCACAGTTGGTCAGTAGTTCCCTGAGTTCCCTTTCTCAGTCCTGCTAAATGTTTTTGATGCATGTTGTTCGTTCCTAGCTGTGACCACCATCCCTCAACTGTCACGACCCCTGAGCAATGAGAGAGAGCTTCATCACAACGATGTCACTCGATCAAACACCCTTGGATGCATCTCAAGGGCACAAGTATGTCCAAGTGGATTAAGTTTTCTCGTAGATTTTCTTCCTGTGTAGGGAGTGCTTTTTCACTGCCATGAATTTTGTGAATGAAGCTCAGGGGCCTTGTAGGTCTGTCTAAAAGGATTATCATGAAAATGGATGAAAAAGAAACATTATATTACAGACTTACTTCTCACTGATTCTGCCATCTCGTGGTCCAATTGACATACAGTTTCCTTAGCTTCCTTTTTGCTGCCACAGGAGAGTTAAGGATTCTTTTCTCACTGTTCTTTGCAGCAAGTTTTCATCTCAGGCTCACCTGTGGTGTTCCTAACTGCATCCCTGCATGGGCAGCAATGTCTCAGGGTTGCTCACACTGAGACTGCCCCATTTCAAATTCTGAAATCTCCAGAATTCCTCATGTCCAGCCATACTGCCCATCCTGCATTTATTGGGGTGGCTAAAGTCACTGCTGTCTGGAAGCAGAATTGTGTGCAAGAGTTGCAAGGGATTGTGCACTGATATGCAGACAAACTTTTAGAGTCCTTCTGCAGCACTGGAGTTGCCATTCCTTGCCAAGGAAATCAAACAGCTGAGACTTCAGCAAATTGGAGAATCCACTACCAAAGGGAGGTGTCTCCTTTAAGTCTCACACAACTTTTCTCCTTCCTCCAGTCACAAAGCTTGAGTTCAGACACTTCTGATGAGCCCCCTCAGTAGTTCTAGTTCTTTCTCACCAGTGCCCAGAGGGCTGTGCCTCTTCTGAAGCTGGATGTCTGGGTCTAAAGCAAGAGTGTTTTTCTTGTTCCAGGATATCACCATCTTCCAGCTTCAACCATCCTGACTGCCTCTCTCAAATGACCTGTTTGCCGTGAACTCCACCACCTACCATGTCTTCCTTGCTTTGTACTGTTGAAGCTCTAGTCTTAGTCTCGGGTCACCGTTGAAGTCCAGCTGAGCACCTGAGAAGCACAGACATCCTGCAGGGATCTGGGTGTGCTGGCTGACAGCAGGCTCACAAGAGCTGGCATTGTATCCTGGAAGCAAAGAGGTTGACGTGAATTTTTAGATGTACTAAACACTCTGTGGCCTTCTGATAAAGAAAGATCATTAGCTCACTATAGTTCGTCTTGGAGTGTCCTCAGCTGGAATGCGTTTTGTAGTTCTGGGCTCCATGACGTAAGAAATTTCTTCATATTTTTAAAGCAGCCAGAGGAGGGCAGCAGAGCTGATAGTGGGGCTGGAAGGCATATCCTATGAGGAGAGCCTGAGGACACATGGGAGAACACAAAGCTAAGAGGCAGCCTCATTGCTCTCTACAGCTTCCTAGGAAGGAAAGCAGAGAGGGTGGTGCCAGACTTTTCTCCCTGTTGTCTGATGACAGGACATGTGGGGGAATGGCACAAAACTGCACCAGGAGGTGTTCAGGCCAGATAGCAGAGATACTGTATACAAGTCAATCCTGAAACACGCTAAGACTCAAATCGGAGTGTTAGAAAGCAGAAATTCTTTATTTTTGGTGCCAGATGCATGGGGGATGAGCTGTACCTGTCATGCATATTTTGCACAAAACACTGTCAGTTTATATTCATTACTTATGTTACATATACAAATGTTACATACTTGTACATAAATGGTCCATAGATTTTCCACACTTCCCCACAGAATCATTAAGGGTTCTGCCTTGTCACACAAGTTCAGACTTTTTGTGGTGGTGGTCCCACAACCCTCTGGATGAAGTCAGTACTCTTCCTCCCTGTGTTCACTGGTTGAACCCCATATTCACCAATGCTCAGTTAGCTCTTTGCATCGATCACACTTTAATTGCGTTCACAATATTTGCTGAATCAATGTAGAACTTCCCATATCCACTCAATTCAAGGTGTTAGGTAATCATTGTAATCTACTTGGTACACAGCTCCGACTCTTCTTGTTTTCTAAACAAACGCCGGGTATCCATCAAGGAGCATTAGAAAGCTTAACAACGTTGCTACAACTTGTATCACCAGGAAATTGTGAAGGTGGTCAAACACTGGATCAGGCTTCCTGTAGATGTGGATGATGCCCTGTGCTTGTCAGGGTTGACACACATTTGGATAATGCTTTCATTAATATGTTTGTCCTTGTGGTTAGACCTAATGACATCAGACAGTTGAACCTGATGAGATTTGAAGATGCCTTCCAGTTCCTCTCCTGTCTTCTCCATTAGAGGTATTGGCAGGAAGAAGGACAGGAATAACAGAATCTACTGGTTTCCTGAAGCAGTGATGATGTCCTCTGCCCACTTATGCATCAGTGATATCAAAAGCACTTGAACTTTGTACAGAATGGAGACGCAA